CAGCCACACCCACCCCCACACCCACACCCCCACCCCCCCACCCATTCAATGTCATAAAAGCAATCACTGGAATGCCAATGAGAAACAATTGAAAATTGAGCAATACAATGCGACGAACCATTATCAAATCTCGATCCATTCCTCTTTAGCGAATGCTATTAATACCTGATGAAAATCGACGTGCATAACTCATTAAAAGACGATGGAAAGCGACGAGAATAGTATCTGCTAAAACGAATGCTAATAAACTTCTGTAAAATGTAAGGTCATATCTTGAAAATGAAACAAAACATAGGCTGTCTATAATCGATTTCACCATGTTACTTGTTAAGAAAAACAGACAACCCCTAAGTAAAGTCAAATATCCATTGCGTAAGAACAATGCATACGTTTCGAGCTTGAGTATTAAGAAATTTGACTTGTCTCATATTTTAAAATATTTTTCCGTAGCCTGTAGGACAAAAGAATGATACATACAAACGATGGTAGAATGATGAAAATAGGGACGTAATGCACAAAGTAAGTGAATATTTAGTGTCGATTGTTGATCCCACATTAATATATAGACAGCTACCGCTGTGTTATGAGCAGAAAATGACTAATGACCAGAGCAGTATTACAAAGTAATACAGCAGGAAAATTAAAGCAGTATTTCTTATAGATAATAGCAATTTTCAGACAAGTAAAGACTAATAGAGAAGTGAAACAACAAACGATTATGTATAATCAATTGTTAATTGAAGAAAACTCCATATCGTTTCAAACTCAAATATTAAGAGTTTTATCAAGTCCGAGTCAATATTTTATCTGGATGGATTGAACTAGGAAAAAAAGGAGAGAAGTTGGTATTGCAAGGAAAAACTAGAAATGATGTTTTCCCTACAAGATAATATTTTTTTGTTTGTCGAAAAAAGAATGTGGGATGTGAATGAAAAAAGACAAACATTCACTCACACATACCCTACAAACCCTCACTCACACCCGTCGATGTGGATATTCTGGGGTGTGGTTGTGAGTGTACTGCGTGTAGGAACAATACACACCCACAATCACACCCACCCACACCCATATCCACTTCCACACCCCACCCACATTTCGAAAATCGAAAATTTTCCTGTCATATCGGAAGTTCTGGCAACCCTGGTGAGAGCGTTCGTTATGAAGACGGGGTAGTTTTAGATGAAAAGATATCAACTGATCATACTCACACTCACCCAACACGTCCCATAGGTTAAAAAAAGAAACTCTTCTACTTCGTCTTAAACTTAGTGTCTTAGTTTTGGAGGCAATCTACTCAATAGAATTTTCCCTCGAATAAAGTTTACTAAGGCTATGCAGAGTTCAAGCCGCCCTATGAAACCCTTGAGAAAGGTCGAAAACAGTTGTGACTTTCTTTTCATGGTACACATCTACACTTACATCCTCTGATTCATTTAAAGAATGATCATACACATTTATATTGTTATTAAAGTGAATTGGTGATTCCTTTAGTCGGGATATAATCTAGATATTGGCAGCTCAATAATACCCTTTACGGGTCATTGACACCCATCTACACTCACATCCACGCATCATGTTGACCCACGCAGATCCAAAAATTTCAACAGAAATCCTGTTAAAAGTTTTATTTCAACAGATGCTGTAGTTCTGTTTATGTTGCAAAACTCTTCTCTAAAAACAATTTCTATAGTTCGTATATGGAGCTCGCTGGAGTAGAATTGTATTTGAAGAAAATGAAAAGATTGAGGAAAAGTATTAGACCTTATTGTGTGGTTTGTAATCTAGAATTTATGACGTCTGTCGATCCCAGTAAGCCAACAACTAACATTGACAATATAACGTGCTGTGCCCGCGTCATCCCAGTTAATAAATAATTTTGTGAAACCACAGTCCAAACACAAACGTCCTTCCTTTGAGTTCGCTGGTGGATCAAATGCAGAAATGCATGGGTTTCCATCAGTAGCCGTAGCCACTGTCATTAATATGGTTCTACTTGCCGAATTGGAATGGACTGGATGACAAATAGTGATACCTTCATAAAGATGTTTTATTCCAGTGAAAATATCATGCTGTCCAAAATGTCCTGCTACCAGATGACCGTTCTCTTTGTAAGCGAGTGTTTGACCGCCATGGAAGTCGCCTGTAAGAGTAACACCAAACTTTCTGTTGAGAAATTCAGAGGCGTGAGAGAGATAGGGTGTGTTGTCGGCGAACAAGAAAATGGCTCCACCACCCGAATGGAATTCCATTAGAGCCGAAATGAATGTAGCATCAGCAATGGAACTCGTACTAATGACCCATGCTATTTGGTAGCGTTTTGATCGAAGTTCGGACAAGAATACACTTTCACCTCTCACATGTTTGACTTGAAAGCCTTTCACTTTCAGGGCCTCAATCGGCTTTTGCATTTCTGCATCGGAAAGTTCACCGCCTAAATATAGCTGTCCGATTAAAATACTATATTCTGTAAATGAGCCGTCTTGACCTAGATCGTACCCTTTGCCAATAGGATTTCCATGTCGATCATACGAACCAGCATTACCAATATCACTTTTACCAGCAGACTCATTATAGTAACTTGTTTTCACAATTTTTTTTCGCAGCTAAAATTAAAATAAAACAATATTGAGATTATAGTGTACGTAAAAAAAGAAAAATTATTGTCCATAATTTTTTCACGGCTCACATTGGAGCTGTAATGCACAGTTGAAATAACGTCACACTGAGCTTATCATGTGTTACTATCATAGATCACTCTACCCGAACGTGTGCCCTTTTTATCACTCTTTCCTTATACCTCGTATCTGATAAGTTTTACTCAGATACAACCTTTTCCTGTCGCTTCTTGCAAGATATAAAGTAGATATAAGGAACTCTTGGGAAGGTGTTACAAATTGTCTCATCCAGTTTTATTTTGTTGTAAGCACTTCATAACTATGCAACCGATTGGTTCCTCGCTCAACAAAATGTGGGACCCTGTTTCATATGGTGTATTGCAGGTATAACGTTTAACAGACAAAAATTGAACAGTTTGTTTTACATGAATTTGAGGTTAATCATGGTTACATTCACACTCACACATACGACAAATATTGCTTTATCACGATTTATACATGTATTATTGACGCATAGAAGTATAGTATCTCGTTTCGTGTTTTTTTTTGTCTTACCCTATCAGAAACAGAAATTTCGTGAATAGTATTCATGATTTTGGAAGATTTAGATGTTTTAAAGTTCATTTCCACATGAAACTACTTGACCATGACGTGCAACATTTTTATGCGAATATCTTAGGTAGAAATTTTCAGTTGACAAAACAGAATGCTTTTATCACATATGAAGGATTACTTGCATACTTACCGAAAGAAAACGATAGATAATTCTATGGTAAATTATGTAATTACCACTATATTCTCCTGATAACATAAGCCAGATGAGAAAAATGCATTTCAGAAACCAGTAGCCAATAAAAGAATGAATCCATTCGTATGCCAAATTTTCGATTAAGCTAAGTGATGCATAGGCTATCCAATACACCGACCACTGCATTCGCTCGGTCTTAACTCCCGATTCGACCACGATCAATCTGTGTAATAATAAAACAATGATAACTTGAGATACGATTCTTGTAAATAACGTATACTCACGAAGCATAAGAAGGGTAAAAAAATCCAATAAAATTACAAACAAACTCTTTGTGCCATCCGAACACTAGATAGATCACGACAATGCTAAGCAAACCTTAACAAAATACATGCAGGATGAATGAGTCAATCTAATGGGTACGTTACAAATAAGGCTTTGTTCAGGTTTGAGTCCTGTCTTTTGTTCCGCGACTACTAAAGAAGAATTAATTGAATTATAATAAGTAGAAGATCTGAGTTCCTTCTTGATCTTATGATAACTGTTCAGAAATAATTCAGTCATTTTCTTTTATCTAAAAGTATTAAGAATGACAGCATTATCCCTGCATAGTATATAGTACTACGATAACAATCGCAGTTGCATGCAAACTTTTGAATATACTAAAAAAATCATTGGGTATTGTCCTTTCACCCTACAGGCTGTAATGTCACTTACAAAATTATTCTTATGTTACATATTTCGATTTAAGCAGAATGTACAGAAAAAAGCTATTTAACTCAGAAACCACTGTGAATAAACAGGAATCGCTCAACATCGTGTGTCTCAAACTGAGTGTCAGTAGTGTTTAAACACTGTTTTAGCATGCTACGACTTACTGAAAAACTTACCTGATTAGGTCATGCCCCGGTCCATACCTCCAACGATACTGTGAAGAAAGAACTGAAACCAAAAATAGCAATAACAGATTCCAAAAATGCAAAAGCATTTTCCATATTTCGAGTTTTCCCTTTTCTCAAAGACATTTTTCTTAAAAGAATTGACTTTCTCCTTAGACGATAATACATGGAGAAAAGTATGACTTTGTTTTTAATACAAATAACTATTTGTTTTTTTGAAAAGCTGATTTCAGTTATGGATTCTCCGATCTCGATTTACTTTCATCAGTCTTCTTAAAGTATCATTATTATCTCGAAAAACCCTTCTCTTGACTCAAAAAACATCAATTCGAAATTTTAAGAAACTGGCTTGAGAGTGTGGGTGTAGTTGTAAGTCACTGGCTGGTGTGGACCTTTTTCTCAAGCAAATTCTTCCTTAACCACAGCCATACCTATACCCATATCGTTCGTCTGACACACCAAGACCTATATGTGTCGATATATGCATCACGGCTCGCTGCTCTTCCTTTTTACTCTTTCTCTCTCTATTGTTCTTTCTGTGTCGTCTCTCTCTTTGTTTCTGTATCATATATAAGTATGCGTTGAATGTGCAAGAGACACAATCTGGAGATGTTAAGTAGCTAATGAACATCATTATCAAGGATGGCGGGAAGCTACTTCTCTCTTATTATTTATCATTACACTATGCTCCGCATTTACACTCCCGTCCTACAGATATATCCTAATACTGATAACATCATACACTATGATTTGTACACATTGCTTTTGTTATAGTACAGCAACCACAGCCGTAAGAGTACACATTCCGATGATTATGAAGTGAGAAGATTCGTTAAAATTTTGAAACGATTATTGGTGAATTGTATCAGGTAAGTCGACCCATGGCTTTCATGATTAACGAAATTCATACTATTCGGATTTTTTTTTACAGTGCTCTATCAAAATAAATGTGTATGAAAGGAAGCATAAGATTGGGCTGATATAAATATAAAAAAAGTGCAAATTAGAATTTTGAAAGA